GCTGCAGTCATTGTTATCTGCCCAAATGGAGCCATTTCTGTTTTCGCCAACTGCAGAAGGCACCTGGTTTCAAGACCTCTACGTAAAAACCTGTACGGACACACCAAATATGGGAGGAGGTGATGATTCACATTACAAAAATAATTCTTTGACAGAAACTTGCCACTTCAGCATTCCTGCAGCTCACAAACTTCCTCCAGGCCTTTCACATATCATGTGATTGACCAATTGGTTTTGTATAGATAACTTTTCCAGGTACAAACCTAATCTGTAAAGCTAGGGAGCCTGAGCGACTGTAAACAGAGTCTTTCACCCACAGCACAGTTCAAAGGGAGGAAATTCATCCAGGACCTTTCCCATCCTCTTGCAGAGTGAGCTGGGGGCATCTGTCCTGTGACCAAGCGGGTAGAGGACCCCAACCAGTCCCATGATGACAGTGGACAGTGCCTAGGACCACGCTGGCCACAAAGAGAAGGAGCAGGGTCTGCATGGGCACACAAACAAATGTCTTAAAGGGCATATTCCGAGCTCCCGGGGACTCACACACCCGAGGGGAGAAACTGATGATCTTCCTAAAGCCCAGAACTGCAGCCTTTGTCCCTCACCAAAGTGCAGCCACCAAGTACACTGAACCAAGTACAAAAGGCACCTGACTTCAAGACTTCTATGTCAAAATCTGTGCCAACAAACCAAATAAGTGTCTGTGGGGGCCAGACCAGGTGAAGGTAAGCTGGGAAGGCTTCCCAGAGGAGGCGGGGAGAGAGAGAAAGCAGCTTTGTGGCTAGGTAAGCTTTAGTGGGAAAAGGCTCAATGCTGGCTTTAGCTGGCCAAGAGGCCCGTCAACTTCCTGTTTCTTAAAGTGTCCATCTGTATTGGAATGGCCTGGGAAGCTTGTTAAAAACGCAGGTCTTTGAGCACTCCCTGCCCTGCCACCCCACAAATCAAAACAGAACCTCTAGAAGTTGGGGGTGGCCAGGGATGGCTGCTAAGAGAACACCTTTTAATCAAGTTCTCCAAGGAATTCATTCTTATCCAAACCACAACTTGCAGGCCAAGGGGAGCTGGGCCCATGTGGCTCTGGGATGAGCTGGGTGGGGAGGGCCCACGAGGAGTCACTGAGGAGAGAGACAAGGCAGGTGTAGACAGAGGGCTGTTCCAGAGCTGTTTAGTCACAACATCCCCAACCCCTCTCCCACCGAGACTTCCTGTTATGATCCTCCCTGGAGCTGGCTGGTGATGGAAACCGTCTGTGCCCCTGCAGAGGGAGGGGGAGAGACAGAGAAGATGAATCTCTCTCAGTCTCCAAGCTAGAATAGGAAGGCAGGGAGTGTTTCAAAGAGGAAAAGAAAAACCAAGTCGAGGCCACCAGACCCTAACAGTAACTGAGAAACTCTATCTGGACAACAGAAGCCTGTTTTGGTGAGATTTAAGTAACCTCAAAACTTCCTTATCCCAAACAAACACCCCCTACACTCCAGGCGGGCAAGCACCCTAGCTGGAGAAGACAGCCCTAATTTGCGTTTGTATTGTTGGCAGCAGGTTTAGACTAGGCGGTCTCTGATGTAGGGGGGCAGGAGAAGGGCCTCTTTCATGGGTTTCCTCAACTTCACACAAGCACTCCCTTCTGCAAAGACTCTGAGCTGGTCTCCATCCACATCGGTTGTTTCCAAAAACCCCTCCAGCCTGGCTGGAGAAAAGGGGATCACTTCCCAGCCCCAGATTGCTGGGCAATACCCTCAATCCATTCTGAGGTAAGAGCAAAAACCCATGTTCCTTTAAGTCTGCCCAGATCACCAGGAAACGCTGCCTTGGCTGGCTTTGCACACTCAGCTCCCCGACACACCTGCTGCTCAGGTGGCGTGAGTCACCCGCACAGGCGCTGCATGCTGGACCTGCCCACCGCAGGCTCGGTGCTTGGCGCCTGGCTCTCACGCACACCGGATGTCATCCGCCCTCTACCCCTCTGGAAGGCGTGTCGGGACAGATCGCATTGTAACCCAATTTCTCCTAAACGACTCACTCCGGGGCGGAGGTGTGGGGAGAAGGAAGAAGAGAGGGACATGGAGATGTTCCTTCCACTCACAGGCAGGGGTCCTCGCCCCTCTACATCCTGGAAGGTAGCATCTGCTCGGCTGGTGGTGAAGAGGGAGGAGGGGCGAGTTACCCTGGGGAAGAAGATGGATGGGACTGCTCAACTGTAAACCTTCTCCAGAATAAAGACCCTCTGCGGAGACGAGTAAGCTTTAGGGCGCTCCCGTACAGCAGGGCGCCCGCAGTTCACAAGACTGTATCGTACACGTAAACATTCGCCAAGAGGGCAGACCTTCTGTTAAGTGTTCTTGTCACAAAAAAATAATAAAGTAATAAATAAAGAGGGCAGCAGGAAACTTTGGGAGACGATGAATAGGTTTATGGCACGGATTGTGGTGTCGGTTTTATGGGGTACACTGGCCACCAAATGCACCAAATTGTGTACGTTAGACGCACATAGCTTTTTGTATGTCAATCGCGCCTCAATGACTTCATTTTTAAAGGAGATGACTCTCTCTCAACTTTCACTTTTTTATAAGGCAGCATTTCTGCATCACAGAATCCTGAACTGGATCCCAGACCAGAAAAAGGACATGGGGGGGGGGGCAACTGGGGAAATCTGAATGAGGTCTGGAGATTAGTTCAAAGTATTCTATTAATGTGAGTCCCCCGCTTTGATCATCTCCCCGCAGATATGTTAAGATGTAAAAGTTGAGGGAAGCTGGATGAAGGGAAGAAGGGAAGTCCGTGTAGTATTTTCACAACTTTCCTGTAAATCTAGATTTATATCAAAATCAAGAGTTAATGGGGGAAGGGTAATAGCTCAGTGGTAGAGCACATGCTTAGCATGCACAAGGTCCTGGGTTCAATCCCCAGTATGTCCAGTGGAAAAAAAAAGTTTAATATGAAAAGGAATTTATTTTTGTACAAATGAATCACTATGCTGTACACCAGAAATTAACACAATGTAAACCAACAATACTAAAAATTAAAAAATAAGCTAAGAATTAAAAACAACCAAAAATTAATAGTAATTTTTAAAAGGACAACATTGTTAATCCAGGTTCCTAGTAAATCTTAATCTACGGCATTGCTAAGTAATTTACATCCTAGTCCTAAAGGCAAATTTTTAAGTTACTCTCATACCAGCGCTGATCAACTCTTTGCTTCAGGAAAAACAAAATGAAACAAAACATTGCATGCACTCAGGAAGCATTTTCTCAGCTCCTACAGTATTCTGGCTCCCAGCTGTGGTATTATCTGATGGATAGATGGTGCAATGTCCCTCCAAGCCCATCTCCGAAATGTCCACCAAGAGGGGCATTCCTCTCACTTTAGACATGACTGACTGAAAGCCAAGATAGTTATTTCTGGGAATCCTCCAAAGGAAATTATTCAAAATGTGGACAAATCCTTACGTACAAAAGACACTCACCAATGCATTACTTCAAAGGGTAGAAATTTGGAAATGCCTTGGTGTCCAACAATGGGGGAATTGTCCAGCAAATTATGATTCAATGCCTGCAGCAGAATACAGTCATTATGTGGGAAAATGTTCAAATAAAAGTGTGTGGGGGGGAGCAGGAAGCAAAGCTGTGTATATTGCAGGATTTCAGCAGTGAGGAAATATGTCAAATTGCCAGCAATACTGTGGGAATTGGGTGTTTTTTCTTCCTGCTTTTTGTATTTTTTTGTAGTTTTCTATAAGAGAGAGAAAGGGCACAGATTACTTTTTAAATCAGATGGGGTGCGAGGTGGGGCTGCGGGCCATCAGTGGGACAATTTCAACAGTTCCTCTCCCAGGGCCACAGGGAACGTACTGCACCAACGTGGGCAGTTCCAGGGACCTGGGTGTGGCCAGAGCACAGGCTCCTAGGGGAGAGGCAGTACCAACACACATCACTGGTTTTCTTCCTGTGGTGCCTGGCTCTCCCCTCTTCCCAAGCAGGTGCTCCCTGGACGTACTGGCACCCTGCACACAGTCCAAGGGAGACACGTGACAGCTTTCAGAAGTCTTCTATGCAGGAGGGACTTCTGGGCAGGAAATGGATCATTACAGATAGGCTGCCAACAGGGCTGGAGGGAATCCCACATCTGGGAAAGCATCTCCAGGAAACCATCTTCAGAGGAATGTCTCAGAGTTGAGAAGGAAAGGGGTGTCCCAGGTTTATCTGTACATCGAGGTAGACTCGCTCAGTTATTCATTCAACAAACACCTATTCCACACCTACTCAGTGACAGGCACCGCACTGCTTGAAACAGCAACACACAAGGACCAGGAAAGGAGGGAGCTGCCGATACAGGAGCAGCTCACTTTCAGTTCAGGACTCAAGACTAAGTCCCCTCCCCACACTGGCCAGGTAACGTCTTCTATTAACAAGTTGCACTGATGGGGTTGGGGACGCACTGGACTGAATTCCTGTCACCTTTCATCCGTTCAGAAAGCCTTGTCGTCTGCCTGACGGGTGGCCCAATCCTTGTAATAAAGCCGCTCACCAAAGGACCAGCGACCAAGGACATCCACCCCCACCGGTGAGAGGGGCTCGGTTGGGTCTCCTGGTCCAAGCGCTGCGCCCTAGCCGCATCCTGGGTCGCCCGTGGGCAGACGGCGGGAGCTCACCGAGGCGGCTCAGCTCCCGAAGTAACGGGAGGTGCAGTGCGGAGAGGTGAGAAGGGAAGTGCTGGGGGTCGGGTGGGTGCGCCGCGGACGCGGGCCTCTCCCTGGGCTGGGGCTCTGTCCCCTAGACAGCGGCTAGGCGTCGTTAGGAAGGGCGATGACCACCTCCACCCGGAAGAATCAGCTCCGCCTGGAGGCAGAGGGATGGCTAAAATGACTTCTGAGAAGATGTCAGTTACAAGAACAAAAATTTCAATCCAGAACCCCAAGACCTTCGTAAAGCGACGCGGGGTGGGGAGGTGGGGGCGAGGAGTCAAATCATATCGTTTCCTCGAATCGCGGGGAAACTTACCTCCAGGTGAGCGACCCGACTGTTAGGTAGAATGCATCAATCCACGGATGGCGATGAGGCCGCGCGGATCTTCCGAGCCCAGCCGATGCGCACCAAGTAATCCAGATTGGGGGTTCCGCAGCCGCCTATATTCCATTCCCCACTTCCCATCCAAGGCCAAAACGCCGGCAGTCGGGACCCGCAGAGACCGCGGGGAGTTCGCCGGCCGGGGCTCCCCAGAGGCCACATTCCCGGGCCTGGGGGGCGGGCGCCGCGCGCCCCGCGGACCCGGGAGAACGCACGTCGTCTGCTCGCGCTCGGAGAGCACCCAGCCTGGTCGCAGCTCCTCGCCGTTCTTCGCTGCGCATCGTCAGCGCGACCCCAGAGATCCCCGCCAGGTACACCTCTGCCAAACCTGGGAAAACGCCAAGGGCAAATCCGCTCTGGGCCCCGCGTTTGCAGGTCCGCGGGGTCCGGAGGCGTGGGGTGGGTGCCTGCCCGGCAAGAGAAATCTACGGCAGCAAGGCATGGCGGCTGCCAGCCGGGAAGATAACCATCCACCGGCCCCACCGCGGTGCCCTCCCCGCTCTGCCTGCAGCGGGACCTTTCTGCCCTTAAGTATCAGCCGGCCGGGCCGGGGGCGGAGCATGGAGGGCGGAGCGTGGGGAGGGGGCGGGGTGGGGTCGAACGGCTTCCTGGGAGATGTAGTTCTGTTTTCCAATCACAACAAATGCAGGGTAGTGGTAGGAATCGTCTGGTCCCCCCACCCCCACCCCGCAACAGCTGTCCTCGCCTGCGCCCTTCCTTCCGAGGCAAGACTGGGATTCCAACCTCAGTGTCAGCTCCGTTTGATCTAGGCTGACCTTAGCACATAATCTGGGTCATACCAAGCCCCGAGATGCCGCCCAGGCCTGAAGTCAGACAAACCCAGCAGAGTTGCAACCCCTGCCTACCACCAGCTAGCTGTGTGACCTTCGCGTCGGAGTTACCGTGTATGCCTGGGATTCTCCATCTGACACAGACGGAGGATATTAGTGTCTGCTTCCACAGGACTGTAGAAGGAGGCAACCTTACAGGGTGGCCTGCTCTCCGCGTCTCTAACATGAACTGTTATCCCCTCCTTGCACTTGTGCTAAGCAAACTTAGTTTCAAGGCTCCACTTCCACGAACCACTTGCCACCCTGAGACCCTCTGAGATAACAATTCCGGAGCTGCCACTGCCTGTCATTCAGGCTTCAGTCTCTGCGGCGCCTCCCATGCTTTCAACACCTGCACACACTGGGAGGAGAGAGGCAGAGTCTTCCCAGAGGTGCTCAGTCCAGCAAGAGGAGGACGCAGTGATGGTGATGACGGTGTGGGCGTGAAAGAGGCTGTAGGAACCAGAGGCACCTAACCCTGCCTGGGGGCAACAGCCAGGACATCCAGAGGGTGGGCTCCGACCTGATTCTGGAAGCAATGGTTAGGAAGGAGCCAAACAAAAAGACACAAACACAAAACAACAACCACAAGGGAGGGCAAGAGAGCCATCTCTGTGGAGGAAACACGGAGGGTATAACAGAAGGAAGAGGGACATGCAGAGGGGGAGGGGAAGGGCTGCTGCGCAACAGCATGGCTGAGAACTAAAGAAACGGCCGTCTCACGGTCCTGGGGGATGTTTACAGACATGCGTATATACATGGGTCAGGGATACACACACGTACCTCCCTGCTCTCTCTGCTGGTAGGACCTAGAGGCAATGACACCCCAGCAGCAAAAAGCACTAGATCCACGGTTTGTTCCTAATACCGCCGTCCAAGGAAAGGAACCAGGGCTCCTCAGAGAAACGACTGATTCTAGGGCTGGGGCGGGAAGCACACAAGACGAGCCTGGAGCATCTCACAGTGCCAGAAAAGAAGACAGCGTGTAGGCACACGCCACACGATGATGGGGTGTACCAGTCAAAGGGACAAGGAAACCAACCCAAAGAGTTCCTCACGGCAAAAGTGGAGGGATGATTTGAGCAACAAAATAAGTTTAGTAGGATCAGATTATAACACAAAGTATAAAATAAATATTCACGGTGTCAAGTGGATATAATTAGATAATTGAACAAATACATGAGGGAAAAATAAACAAAATTCATGTAGACATTCTGCCCTCAAGGAAGTAAAGGATAACTTTCGGCTCCTTAAGTGAAGGCTGCTCTTCCTCCCAAGAGTAAAGTATGGAAGGTGGGTCAGGGAAAGAGTACTCCCTCATTACCAAATTGTGAGAAAAATTCCAGCAGAGGGACATCCTACAAAATGCCTGACCAGTACCCCTCAAAGCTATCAAGGTCACCAAAAATAAGAGAAGTCACAGCTCAGAGGAGCCCAAGGAAACATGTGACTAAATTTAACATGGGATCCTCGACCCATGGAAAAGATCATTAGATTAAAATGGAGGAAATTGGAATAAAATATAAGTTTAGTCAATAATAAAGTATCAATATTGATTCATTAATGACTCAAGTGCATCATCCTCATGAAAGATGCTAATAACAAAAGGTGTGATGGACACAGAAACTCTCTGTACTATCTTTGCAGCAGAAACATCTCCACCCTACTCCACCGTTCCAGATAGCATGGCTGTACATTTCCTGAAAGCAAGAGCTGAATCTTTTTACGCTCATACCCGCTGCACCGGGTTTCATTCCGGGAAGAGTAAATGCTCTGCTCAAGCTGGTGTTAAGAATGTGGCTGACCAGGTAGAAAGCACTCAGCTCAGTGTCTCGCCAACGGCAGGCACTCAATAAATGTTAGCGATCCAGTGCGTCCACCTGTCCCCTGGTCCTTCCTTTTGTCCCATCCCTGCCCCACCCATGCTCATCACCCATTCTCCTCCCCCTTATTGAAAGGAGATGCCTCCGATGGTCCTGCCATGGTGACAAGCAAGGTAGTGGATGTAAATGAGCCAGGGTGCAGGAGAGAGGGGTCAGTGTGATGGTCAGTGTGAGGGGTCAGATGCACTGCCTTGGGACACGAGTGCTCAGAGCCAGACACCTTGCCTCCATCAACCCACAGACATAACACATCATATGAGGGCATGGGTCTGCAGATCATGACTTTGGGAAGGTCTCTAAATTCCTATTGTTTCACTCATTAAAGAGGGAAAATCTAAGAGTAGGTACACTCGGAGGCAATAAAGCATCAGGTTAAACAGGTGATCTGAGCCAGACTAGGTTCTAGGCTTAAAGTCCAGTCCTGTTACCTTCTAGTTGAGTGACCAAGGCAGGGCACTGATGGATCTATGCCACAGTGCCATCATCTGTAGAACAGGGGAACTCATAGGGCTGTTCCCAGGCACAAGTGAGTGATTACTTGGAAAATATTTGGGATAGTGCCTGGCACAGAGCAAGCACTCAAGAAATATCAGCTCGTGGGCATGTTCTGGGGGCTTGTTCAGCTCTTTGCTAGAGCACCTCAGAGTGCCAGGGGCTTAACCCTCAAGCAATGAGGGAAGGAAGTTGTTGGATACACATCCCATCCTTTCCCTCCTTCGATCTGGCAATTCTGGATTTTATTCTGCCCAGTTGCTCGGAGGGTCCCCAGTGAGATTCAGCCCTGAACGCCCACAGCATAACCTCTCATTAACCCACCATCAATTGACTTTCCTCTCCTGATTCACTCTCCCTCATCCTTCAGTGTGCTTCCAGAGAGAAACTCCCAAATCAGTTACTTACACCCAAACATGTCTGCTTTAAGAAGAATCCAGAATAAGACACTGCCCATAAATTGGCTTTCATTTCTAGATTCTTTGCACATGCCTACGATTTTTTGAGTCTCCCAGATGTCAGGGTTGAAATCTTCAAGTCACTTTTTTATTGACAATTTGCTCTTTTTCATTATTGATTACTTGCACGTGTGTATTTCTGGCTCCCCCAATAAATTTTAGTGTTTTAGGGTCAAGGAGCATATCATATTTTTTAATCCCCCCAATAAGGGCTCAATCAACATTGATTGGTTCCATTGGACTGACCAGCTTACATTGGGAACAAGGCAAACACAGGTAAATGGTGTTCTGGCAAGTGGACAAACTTAACTCATCCCCTACGCTGTACTGAATCAATCCCCAGAATCTCATCCACAAAGCTCCACCCAAAGCTTAATAGTACGCAAGCTGCCCGTGTTGGTAGAATTAATTGGCCTGCACCTATACGCCAACACCACTTTAGTAATTAGTATTTTTGATGGTTTATGGTACCATAGGGGGTTAAATTTGATGGTGTTGCCACATATACAAAGAATATCTGCCTGAGAAATGCTACAAAGATGAGAGTTGGTACCTTTCTGCCTCTGGACTGAACAATGGCAACCATTCATTCATTCAGCAAACATCTATTCAGCACCAAGTAAGCACCAGGCCCTATGCTAGAAACTGGGGTTAAAATTACAAAACTGACAGTCAAAGTCCTTGTCCTTGTGGGGGAGACAGACAATAAATAAGTGAACAACCAAATTAAATAATTGCAGACTGTGATAAGAAATAAAGAAAGAAAGCAACAAGGATAGAAAGAAAAGATTACAATAGACGAAAAAGAAAGTCTGGCTTGGAAAGGCTTCTCCAAAGAAAGGACAAGTCACAAAACTGATTAAAATGAAACCATCGCTGGTACACACACATCCATATATCTGAGACAGCAGTGTGAGCACCTTGTGTAGCCAGAGAAGGAGTGCCTGGGGAGCTGATTTCAAAAGCAGACAGAGAAGTTTGGTTAAAGGATGATGTAGAGGAGGCTGAGGCAAAGATTAAGATGTAGGGGGAAAGGTGCGGGCTAGGGAGATGAGCAGGAAGGAAAGAAAGCCCAGCAAGGCTCTTCTGCCAGAGGACACTGTCCGGACAGGTGCGACACAGTGTCGTGTCCAGGTGGAACGCAGCGGCCCGCCCTCCGTGTCTCACACAGATGGCAGGAAGCTGTCCAACCAAGAACCCACGTTTTCCCCTAGGAATGAAGGAGCTTCAGAAAGCCTCAGGCACTCAGGTGTGCCGGCCCAAGGTAACGGAAGGCATGGGACCCTCTAGAACAAACCTCTTCCTTTCACAGAACTAGCAAAATCAAATATGGCATCACACAGAGAGGTCCCGGGATGGGACGAGTGTGACAGGAAATCAGAGCTTGGGACTTGAACTGGGCTCCTCCAGGAGGGAGCAGGAAGCCCTACCCTGATTTTGCAAGCAGCTTTGTTATGCAAATATCCTCAAAGCCTGGGTCCAGGCATTCACCTGAGACACCCTCCCTTCTCCCTTGGGTCACTTCTTCCATTGCAGGGAGCGGGTCAGATGGGTGGGAGATGTGATTGAGCAGTGCTGGGAAAATGCCCCGGCCTCACCCACTCCCTCCTACCCGTCCCCCAGGAAGGAGGAGGCGCACGCCGGCGCTCCCCTGGGAACACTGAGGCTTTGTCTGCTGGAGGTTCTGAAGTCACCTCTTGACTTACCTCATCCAACCCTGAAAGTTCTGTGTCCTCCTCCTTCCTCCCCGAGGAGTTTGGAGGGCTAGAAGGATTGAGGGGGAGGGTGGCAGAAAAGACCAGGTAGCTAATCATGGCCAACAAGACTGTCCCCCCAACCCCCGTGTGGCAGG